ACACTCCCTCCCTGGGACACAATCCCCCCACACCCCTCCCGCCGCCCCAAGTACATTCCATTATGCAATCTTAATTGTGGACTCTTGTGATAAATATTTTTATCTTATAGCATTGTCAAAATCGTAGAAAAAGAAGAAATTCTATTTGTTTCCCCTTCTAGTAATTCAGGGTGAAGCATTTTAGGATTTGTGCATCTCATTAATCCTCCTACATTTGCAGGGTCACTGATAACATACTTGCCATGGCTCGCCCATCCACTGAACTCATTGAAAAGTACCACATCATTGAACAATTTCAGAGGTAAATACTCTTCATTGTTCACATATTGTTCACAAATGTGTTTTTCTTTCATTGCTTTTTTTCTACAAATGAAAAGTATTTTTATTTTCATAATAGGAGTAATTAGTAATGCATTTTTTAAAATAGTCTTTCTATATAGGACTAATTTTTTTTTCCCCTTCAAGCTGTGGCATAAAAACCATAATTAATCTTCAGCGTCCTGGAGAACACGCTAGCTGTGGGAACTCTTTGGAACAGGAAAGTGGTTTCACTTACCTTCCTGAAGCTTTCATGGAAGCTGGCAGTAAGTTCCTTTTCCTTATTCCTCATGATGAATTATCAAGGACAGCGCTTAGAGACACTTCTTTGTCCTGCTCTTAAGTTAAAAAGGGGGGTGGAAATGAACACTTATTGCATGGAAGTGTAGGAGTCAAGAAAAATAAATGAAAACCCAACCTTTCTGTAAAATTTTATTAAAGTCACAATAAAAGGAAAAAATAATAGAAATAACGATGCCAGGATCTGTAAAGAAAAAAGAATGAATGATATTAATTCACTCTGATTGTAAATATTGTGACCCTTTTTCAGTATTTTCTTTTGTATTGCTGTTGAAAGTACAGTTTTGTTTTTCTTTTATCCTGTGTAATGAATATGGGAATGAGACCTTGTAGTTAGCATATTTCATAATGCCTGTAGAATACCATATTCTGTTCTCTGGTTTAGGGCTTTTCCATGGTCTAGTCCATAGGGAGTTGTGTAGTAACCCTAAAGCTGTACCTCTGGTGGTCCAAATCCACCGGTGATAGAGGGAGGAAAGTGTCATCTCTTCCAATCTTACCTACAGTCTCAAAGGGGTCACCTGTGAGTCATTTATAAGTCAAGGACAATGAGAGCTGAGATTATTTAATTCTTACTACAATTGTGTAACACATTTTTTGCCATTTCTCTTATACAAATGAGGCTGGCTACAGAGGCTAGACCTGCTACACTGACTTGCCCAAAATGATCCAGCAAAAAATTGGCAGTCAATCTATGAATATATTACATATTTACTATTGTAAAACAAAAATTTTTCTACTGTTGAGACTTTTTGTGATAATTTCATTGACTCCTTCACTTACAGCTTTGGAATGGAATCCACTGAACATGTGACATTCAAATCCAGGAATGTAAATTTGTAGTTGCTTTTGTTGTTAGGTGCTCTCAAGTCTACTATGACTCATAGCTACCCTAAGAACAGCAGAGAAACCCCTATGAACCTTGCGCCACCATCATGATCTCTCCCATCCTAAAACTCAAGAGTGTACTCACTGTGTCAATATCATTGAGGATCTTCCTCTCTTTTACTGCTCTTTCACCTTTCCCATGCTTTTTCTGAAGACCACCCAATCCTGAAGTGTCTGAAGTACATGAGATGACGTTTCACCATCCTTCCCTCTATGGAGCACCCCAATTGCATTTCCTTCAAGGTAGATTTGTTTATTCTTTAGGCAGTCCATGGTATATTCAATACTCTTCACTAACACCATGATTCAAAAGCATCACCACTTCTTCAGTCTTCCTTTAGTCATTATCCACCTTTCACATATATTTGAAGCAATTGAAAATTCTATGGCTTGGCTCAGGTGTGCTTTGTTTTTAAACTGATGTCCTTGTTCTGTAGTACTTTGAGCAGATCCTTGAGAGCAGATCTTCCCAATACATCACATCTTTTGGTCTCTTGAATGCTATTACCATGGATATTGTTTATAGATCCAAGTAAAATGAAATCACTGACAACATCAGTCTTTTTCCCATCCTATCATTGACCCAGTGGTGAGGATTTTTGTTTTCTTTATATTGAGATGTAATCCATATGAAAGTCCATCATCTTTATTATTTTGAAATGTAAATAAGTTTATTTCTAATCTGTTTTGTTTTTATTCTGGGTAGAAAAATCCAGTCATTCATTAGTAATTTACATATATTTGTATGCCAAGATTATTTTCCCTCTACAGCTAAGTAATTTGAGTATAGATTATTAACTTATTTATAATTATACTTTACCATAATTCTTTCATTGACACAGTGACTGTTTAATCATGTGTTTAATCATGGTGACAATGTTATGTTTCTAATCATAATTCATAGGGTTACTCTAAGTCATGGTTGACCAACAATAATTTTTCCTGGCTTAATTTCAACATGAAATGTCTTATGTATTATAAATGATTCATTGATGATGAACTTAAAATATAAAAGACCTGTCTTTTTAGACTTGTGTATTCGCTGAGATCTTACTTTAGACTTTTAAACTTTTCTTTCACTTTCCCCCCAGATGTTTTTGTAACCATATTTTCTGTATGTTGATTTGTTTTTCATTCTCTTTTTCTATTCCTAGTTTATTTCTACAATTTCGGATGGAAGGATTATGGTGTAGCATCTCTTACTACAGTCTTAGATATGGTGAAGGTGATGACATTTGCCTTACAGGAAGGAAGAGTAGCTGTTCATTGTCATGCAGGGCTTGGTCGAACAGGTAAATCGAAGGAGAAGATTTATTGTCTTATAGGTATATTTAAAATATATAAGTGATAGTATTTTCTAACGACAGAAGATAAGTGTTTCTAAGAATCTTTCCAAAGCTTGGAGTCAAAATGAAGAAGTAAATAAAATATGTTTAAGTGTCTTAAATAATTTGTTAAAATCACTGGATGTTCATGCAAGTGTTCTTGAATGACATAGAGCTGAAACTTCATATTTATTAATAGATTAGTTTCTGAAAGGAGATAAATGAGCACCCTGATATTCTTCTTTAAAGGATAAAAAACCCTCCAATACATTGTTTTAATATGTAATGTGTAATAATGTCATTATTATGAATGGAATTATTAGTAGAAATTGTAATCATTATTTCACTTAAGTTTTTAGCAGTTAACACAAGTTGAAAACTGAAATTAAATTACCTGGTACAATTAATATATGATCACCCACCTTGAATACTATACAGTGATGGAGATTTAGTTTTGACTGAGTTAAGCAGGTATTATAGTTTAACTGAAATTTAACTGTCCTTGGGAATTGCAGGGAACATTTTCACTCTCCTTTTTACATGGTATTTCTGCAGATAGTTTTTACATACTTCGAGGAGAAAGATGAGCAGTCTTTTCTTGTGTGATTTACAGTCTTTGAAAACCTGTTGGAGAGTCAGCTATGAGTCAGTTCCAATTTAATGGCATAGAACAACAACAACAAAGAGATTTTGTGGCCCAGTGGTAAGAAGCTGCACTGCAGTCCCAAAAGGCACATGGTTCAAATCTTCCACCGCTTCACAGGAAGAATTGGCAGCCTCCTCCAATGCAATTTACTGCCTCTGAAAACTCATTGAAGGGTCAGCTATGGGTCAATTCCAACTCCATGGTATTCAACAATTGTGAGATAGATAAAGGAGCTCTAATAGTGTAGTCCATAGGTAATTGCATTGCTAACCAAGAGGCTGCTCTTCTTAGGTAGTTCAAATCCACCAGAGGTTCCTTGGGAGAAAGAGAGACAGTCTCCTCCCAGGCAGCTTAGAGCTTGAGAAAACCTGTTAGATGGTCAGCTATGAATCAGTTCTGACTTGACAGCTGTGAGTTTGAGTTTTAAGTGAGAAAGATTTTTTTAGACTATGAAATTGACTTAGTGACAACTAACAACAACAATTATGTACTAGGGTACGTGCAATTTTAGAGTTTATATATTTTTCATATCTAACAAGATACAAACTTGATAATTCATGTAGAAGCCAAAAATATTTACATTTTAATTTTATATTAAACATTGTTTTACTAAATTATTTTTAAATTAATTATTTTAAACTTGATTATTTATTTCAAACACATACTATTATATGCAACATTTACTCTCTTATGGTTGGCTTCCTTCATAAGTGCTTATGGAAAAAGAATTATTTTCTCAGTTGTTGTTTTATGTGCCATCAAATCACTAGCGACTCATAGGGACCCTATGTACAACAGGCCTAAACCCTGCTCTGTCCTGTGCCAATCTCACTGTCTCCAACACACCCACCCCAATTACCCTAGTCACTAGATCAAACCACCACGTAGAGGGTCTTCCCCTCCTGTGCTGTCCCTCCACTCTCCCAAGCATATGTCCTTCTCCAAGGACTGGTCCCTCCTTGCAACATGTCCAAAGTATGTCAGACAAAGCCCCAGAATCCTTGCCTCCAAGGAACAGCCTGGTTTAACCCTCTCCAGGATGAATCTGTTTGTTTTCCTAATCATCCATGGTACCCTGAATACTCTTCTCCCGCACCACAGTTCAAAGGCATCAATTCTCCTTCTATCCTCCCTAGTCATTGTCCAGCTCTCTAACGCATAGCAAGTGATTGCAAAGACCATAGCCTTAGTCTCCAGGGTGACACCATTCCTCTTCAGTACTTTGGAGAGGTCCCTAAGAGCAGACTTTCCCATCTTAATACGTCTTTTAATTTCCTGGTTGCTGATGCCAAGACTGTTGACAGTGGAGCCAAGCAAACTAAAGCTGTAAACAATCTCAATCTCTTCACCATCCATAACTGATGCTGCCAGTGGGTGGCTTAGTGTGCAAGGAGTTGTACTGCCAATCCAAAGGCAGACAGTTCAAATCGTCCAGCAGTTCCACAGGGAGAAATATATACATTTTCTCAGTAGGGTGAAAAATATTATTTACTTTTAGATACAAGTCTGGAAGAAAAGTAGTAGATTATGAAGGTGAATAATCTCATAAGAAAAAAGATGTTCATATGCCAGAAAGAGTGCCAAGGTAGAATGTATCAGGGGGATGGGAAGGAGGCAAGCAAAAAGTATATTGCTTGATTGAATGGAAAATTGTGAGAACTGATTAATCCTTTAATTTACTTGTCTCTTAGTGGTGTAGTGTATTGCATGTTGGTAACTGTCAGTTAAAGGTCTTTAGTTTGAATCCACCAGGTGCTCTTTAGGAAAAAGATGAGGTCTGTGCCAGTTAAGGTTTTCAGCCCTAGAAACACCCTTGGAAGTTTGCCATGGTTGGAATAAACTCCACAACATTACGTTGGGCTTGGTTTTTGTTCTGTACATCACATACTACTAAGAGATGATTAAGATAATCTTTCCTCCAAATGTTCTTGGTCTAAGAGAGAGAGGGCCATATATTTAGATAGTAACAGGTAAAATTTTACTCAATAATTAACACCTATGCAAAATATTTCAGTTATAATTATAAATCATCCTCAAAATGTGCTTGTATTTACATGATTTCTTAACATATTTTAAAATTTTAAGTCACCAAAGAATGATAAAAAAACATAACTCTCCTCACTCTAATCTTCTTTTCTTGCTTGTTTAGGTGTCTTGATAGCTTGTTACTTAGTTTTTGCAACAAGAATGACTGCTGACCAAGCAATTGTATTTGTTCGAGCAAAGCGACCCAATTCCATACAAACTAGAGGACAACTCCTATGTGTAAGAGAATTTACACAGTTTCTGATTCCTCTTCGCAATATATTTTCTTGCTGTGAACCTAAAGCACATGCTGTCACCTTAGCTCAGTATCTAATTCGCCAGCGTCATCTACTTCATGGCTATGAAGCACGGCTTCTAAAACATGTACCAAAAATTATTCATCTCGTTTGCAAATTATTGCTGGACTTAGCTGAGAACAGGTCAGTGATGAAGGAGGAAGTGTTAGACGTACCAGACCTCTCTGCTGAAATAGAAAAGACAGTGTCTGAGATGGTCACAGTGCAACTGGATAAAGAGTTAATGAGGCATGACAGTAACACATCAGATCCTCATATTCCTGTGGCAGCAGCGGCAGCTCTTGAGAATCAGGATGTCGTTCTTTCCAGTGAACAAGAACTTGACCCTCTTTGGAAGAGATGGAACATTGAAGACCTTAAACCACTGACTCATTTGAAAAGACGTCTCAGCTATAGTGACTCAGATTTAAAGCGGGCTGAGTTACTTTTAGAACATAGTGTGACCCAGTGGATGATGCCTGCCCAAGTCTTGCTTTGCCATAACATCAAGGAACAGAAAACTGTAAGCCAATGTTATGTTCCTCAGTCTCCACAACTCCATTTAAATAAAGAAACGTTGGTCTGCCATACATTTTCTTTCTGGACTCAAGCTAAATTTGGAAGCTTGCAAGGACTCAAAGATGATGAATTACCACTATTCCAGAAGCATATTCCAAAAGAAGTGCATCAGAGTAGAACCTTTTCACCTGGTGTCTCAGCTTCAAACAACCCTAAAGAGCTAATTATACCCAACTTTGGAGCTATCCATAAGGAACCAAACCATTGTCACCATCAAGTGAATCACTGTCATTGTGACAGTCCTGATAGTTGGGGTCAGAGGGCTATCCTGTCAGGTGGTGGAACTTGCTGCCTCCCTCTTGAGTGTGATTCTACTCCCAAAGTAAAATTCTCTGTAGTACATGAAGACAAAGAGAGCAAAAGCTTGGCTCAAGTAGCACCACAAGTTGCTTTGCCATCTGAATTGAGTGTTACAGCAAGGAGAATACTGGCAGCTAAAGCTCTGGCAAATCTAAATGAGTTTGTAGAAAAGGAAGAAGTTAAAAAGAAGGTAGAAATGTGGCAGGTATTTATATTTCACTTAATTGTGTGTGAGAGGGCAATATAATGGATTTTACTAAATTTGTTACAGAAATTTAAAGATATGTATGTATAACACTTAAATTTTTTAAACAGTTTTATTATTTTGTAATTATATAACAAAATTACCAGTTCTAGTAATTTTTAAGTATACCATTCATTGATGTTAAGTGTATTCTCTTATGTTACATTAGCATCCCTGATATTTGTTGCCAGATCTTTTTTATCCTCTCAACAAAAAGTCTAAACCCATTTAACAACAGTTCTTCATTTCCCCTCAGCCTCAGCAATACTCTAGTTCTATTAGCTGTCTATGATTTTGCTTATTTTAGATACCTTATGTAAGTGGTATAATAGAATATTTGTCCTTTTGTGTTTGGCTAATTCTGTCTTCAAGTTTCATTCCTTTTTCATAATATTGTATAATATTACCTTAAAATGCTAATAATATTTACTATACTTATAGTATTTACTACACTAATAACACTGAGAATGGGTTTTTTTTGGTTTTTTTAAATTTTTTGTTATTAAATTTTTTTAATTTTAATGAATATTTACAGAGATTTGGGGTTTTCATTCATTCATTGTTGCACTATAACACTGAGAATGTTAATAATACTGTATAATATGTACATCATATGAAACATTTTGTTTATTTGTTGAGGGATACTTGGGTTGTTTCTGCCCTTTGGCTATTGTCAACAGTCCCACAGTGAGCACAGTCCCTGTTTCAATTCTTTTGAGTATGAGTATGTGCCTAAGAGTGGAGCTGTTGGCTCATGTGGTAATTCTGTTTACCATGTTAAGAAAGCAACAATTTCCACCACTCACTCACTGATTTCTGTTCTGTCAGAACCAACTCACAGCTGACCCAGAGGGTTTTCAGAGTCGAAATCAAGTGGGAGAGATTGCCCATCATTCTCCCTTGGAGATGCTGGTGCATTTGGAACTTCCAGTTTTCTGATTTCTCCACAACCTTACCAACTTTTGTTATTTTGTGAATTTGTTTTGGTTCTTTGTGAGGTTTGTATTGTTGTTGTTGTTATTTTAATATATAATAGATTTCCCACTGTGTATGATGCAGGATTTCTGATTTTTAACTTCCATTTCCCTAGTATCTAACAAAGTGTGACAGTGGTTAAGTGCTCAACTGCTGACTGAAAGATTGGCTAGAAAAAAAGACCAGGTTTCATTCATTGTTGCATTGAAATGATAATTAATAAATAATTTTTTTAAAAAGACCAGGTGACTCCCTTCTATAAAGATTCTAGCCAAGGAAACCCTATAGGCAGTTGTTATCTGTTACATGAGGTTATCAGTCAGAAATTACTTGACTGCATTCAGTTGTTGTTGTTGTGTGCTGTTGAGTTGGAACTGACCTATGAGCTGACCCTCTAGTGGGTTTTTAGAAGCTGTAAATTGCACAGGTGTTCACTCAGAGCTCACTCAGCAGCAACAATGAATAATGGCCATGAACACCTTTTCATGTTTTAGTTGGTCATTTTTATAACTTCTTTAGAGAAATAGCTATTTAATTCCTTTGCCCATTTTTTAATTTGATGGGTTTTTAATGTCCTTATGTTGTTATGTGTCAGAGAGTTGGACAATGACTAGGGAGGATAGAAGGAGAACTGATGACCTTGAGCTGTGGTGCTGGAGAAGAGTATTCAATGTACCATGGACTGCTAAGAAAACATCTAAGGTTCATCATGGAGAGGGTTAAACCGGGCAGCTCCTTAGAGGCAAGGATTCTGAGGCCTCGTCTGACATACTTTGGACACGTTGCAAGGAGGGACAGGTACATCATGCTTGGGAGGGTGGAGGGACAGAGCAGAAGAGGAAGGCCCTCTATGAGGTGGATTGATTCAGTGACTGAGGTAAGCGGGATGGGTATATCGGAGACAGTGCGAGTGGCACAAGACAGAGCAGAGTTTCGGGCTGTTGTACATAGGGTCGCTATAAGTCGCAAGCCACTCAACGGCACATAGCAGCAACAACAAAAAGTTGAGAGAATTATATGTATATTACATTTTGGATATTAATCTCTTACCAGATTGGCAGTTTAAAAATATTGTCTTACATTTTCTGAATTATCTTTTCACTTTTTTTTTATAGTGTCCCTATCAAGATGTTTTCGGTTTGATGAAATCTAGTTTTTGTATTTGGACTGTTGATTCATTTTTAGAGGTTTTTTAAACATGTGGTCTAGGATAAGTGTCTAGATCATTCTTTTGCATGTGGATACTCACTCTTACCAGTATCATTTGTTGACATTTCTGTTCGTTTTCAATTGAATCATTTCAACACTATTGTCAAAAATCAATAGACCATGTATATAAAGTTGTATTTTTGAGCTGTATATTCTGTTCTAGTGATTTATATGTCCAACGTTGTGCTAGTACCACATTGTTTTAATTAATTACTAGAGCTTTGTACTACAGTTTGAAAGAGGAAAGTGTGGGTCTTCCATCTTTGTTCTTTTTGAATATTTTCATTATTTGTGCCCAGTCTCAGTTACATATGAATTTTAATATTTTGGGGTTTTTATTTTTATATGAGGGAAAGTTTACAAATCCTGTTTTTTAATCATTTATTTATGTATATTTAATAACATTGTTGTTACGTGCCATCAAGTCAACCACAGCTCTTATCAATCCTGTATCCTGTGCCATCCTCATGATTTCTGATAAGCATACTCTTAACAGTCGCTATGTCTTTCTTATTGGAAATCTTCCTCTCTTCTTTGACCCTTCACCTTTCCCAGCATGATGTCCTTTTCCAAGCCTGAACCACTCCTGACAACATGTCCAAAGTATGTGAGACCAAGTTTCACAATTCTTGCCTCTAAGAAACACCCTGGCTGCACTTTCTCCAAGATATATTTGTTGGGTTTTTTTTTTTTTGGTAGTCCATGAAATATTTGGGACTCTTCTTCATCATCACAGTTCAAAAGCATCCTGTCATCCTTATTCACTGTCCAACTTGCAGGTGCATATGAAGTAATTGAAAAGACCATGGCTTGAATCAGGCACACCTTCATCTTTAAATTGATATCCTTGCTCATTAACACTTAGGAGCAATCCTTGACAGCAGGTTTTCCAAATACAACACATCTTTTGATTTCTTAACTGCACTATGTGTATTTATTATAGATCCAAATAAAATTAAATCCTTGACAACTTCAGTATTATGTCTGTCTTCCTTGATGTTTCTGTTGGTCCAATTTTAAAAAATATTTATTTATTTGATATGGAAAGTTGTAGTCTGATCTTCTACAAGTGTTTTAAGTCATCTTCACCTTCAGTTTGTAATGATTACCATCTTCTTGGTGGATGAATTTTTATATAAAAATATAGTGTTCTTTCACTCTCATAATATATTTTACCATAAAATCTGTCTTATCTGATAACATAGCCACCCCTGCTTTCTTTTGAATCCTGTCTGTGTTGATTATCTTTTGCTTTCCTTTTACTTTTAATCTCTGTGTCTTTATAAATAAGGAGACTCTCTTACAGTAGATGGGTCACTTTTTGTTTGTTTAATAAATTCACATTGGAAGTCATTACTGATAGGAAAGGATTTATTTTCACTATTTTATAATTTATTTTCTGTATGCCTTAGAAATATTTCATTCTTTAGTTTATCATTTTGTGCCTTTTATGTATTAAGTTGAATTTTAGTAAGTGACTAAAAATATTTAGAGAAAGTTAACATAAGATTATTAAAATCTTAAATTTATTAAAACCTTGGCTGAATAATACCAACTTTGTTCTTGTTTGATATCATCGAGTCAGCTCTTAGTAGCGTTCCAAACAAGACATCAAAACTTTGCCAGATCCTATCACATCCTCTTAGCTCTGCTGTGTTAAGCTTATTGTTGCAGTCACTGTGTAAGTCTTTCTCATGCCAGGTACTCCTCTGTTTCTGAGACCCTTCACTTTTCAAGCATGATGCCCTTTCCCAAGAACTGGCTCTTCTGATAATATGTCCAAAGTATGTGGGATACCTACAGTTTTTCCTTCTAAGGAACAGTACAACTTTTCTTCTTTCAAAATAGGTTTGTTTCTTCTTTTGTCAGTCTATAATGTATTCATTCTTTACCACTATCGCAATTCAAAAGTATCAGTTCTTTGGTCCTCTCATTGGTTGTTCAGCTTTGATGTGCATACGAAGCAACTGAAATTACCACAGGTTGGTTCAAGTGCCTTAAAGTAGCATCCTTGCTCTTAAAAGAAGTCTTCTTTAAAGAATTCTTCTATATAGCACATTTGTCTGTTGCATTAGATTGTTTGATTTATTGACTTCCATTTTTTGCTTCTTTGGGTATTGATTGTGGATCCCAGTAAAATTAAATTCTTAACAATTTCATTCTGGCGAGTTCTGGTAGCCTAGTGACAAGAAGCTGCATTGCAATCCCAAAGGTGAGCAGTTTGAATCCTCCAGATGCTCTGCTAGAGAAGGAGGGGCAATCTCCTCCTGTACCAGTCAGATACAATTTAACGGTACACACACACAAAAAATACTTAAAAAAATTAATTTAAAAAATCATTATTTTCTCCATTTTTCACTACAATTAAAACATTTATGAAAATTTTTATTTTCTTAATGTTAAAGTCTAATTCATACTGATAGCTCTATTCCTCCATCTGCATCAATAAATCAATCCTCTTCACTTTTAGCAAGCAAGATTGTATCATCTGCATATCAGATTGTTGGTGAGTATTCCTACAGTCCTGATGCCCATTATTCTTCATATAGTTCAGCTTCTCAAATTATTTGCTCAGCATCAGACAGATAGAATAGGTATGGTGAAAGGATATAAGCATGATAGGTACCTTTTCTGTTTGTCTCCTTCTTGATCCATGTACACATTCCACATAAGTACAATTAAATATTCTAGAATTCCCATTCTTGTCTATGCTGTGAATTATCTGGATGTTTTTCATAGCCAAATGCCTTTACATAGCCAATAACACACAAGTAAACATCTTTCTAGTAATCTGTGTTTTCAGCTAAGATGCATCTGACATTAGGAATATCTTTTGTAACATAGCCTCTGAATACAGCTTAATTTCTGGAAGTTATCTGTTGATATACTAGTCCATCCATTTTGAATAATCAGCAAGATTTACTTGCATGTGATATTGGTGATATTATTCGATAATTTTCCACATTATGTTGGTTCACCTTTTTGTTTTGAATGGGCACAAATATGGATCACTTTTAATTGGCTGGCCCAGGTAGCTGTCATCCCAATTATTTGGCATACACAAGAACATACAGGGTGTTATCTGCTGAAACACCTTCATTGATATTCTATGCGTTCTTGAGATTTATTTATTTTTTTTTTTTGTCAATGCCTTCTTTGTAGCTTGGACTTCTTCCTCTAGTACCATTGGTCCTTGATGACATGTTGCTTCTTGAAATGGTTCAAGATCAACTAATTATATTTGGCACAGTGATTCTGTATCTTCATTCCATCTTCTTTTGAGGCTTCCTTAATCATTCATTTTGCCCAAGGAGTCCTTCAGTGAGTCACTTTCAGTTGGAAAAGAGACAAAGAGAGAGTATCGTGTTATATATATTTACTAGACAAGTACTCTTAAATCATCTGTATTCTTTTTTGCTCTGAATGAGCATATATAGGGGGGAAAACAGGGCCTGTGCACAAAGTTATCAGAAATACATAAAATGCACAGTAAAGATAGGAATTTGGGAGTCTTAAGTCAGTAGGGTCTTGACTTGTTAGCCTGTGATCCGATATAAATTATTTTACTTTTCTGTATTAGATCATTAGTACAAACTGCACTAAAAAAATTTTAACAAGGCTGCTATTTTCAAATAAATGACAAATGAAGTGTGTAACCTCACAGAAACACACTAATTTGCTTGTACTTTTTTATCTACTATTTTACCTCATTGTAATATATATTTGTTTTGTTCTCCAGGAGCCAAAGAAATGATGAATTTTTCTTTTTGTTTGGTTTCTGAACAAAGTTGGGAACTTCATTAACTCAGCACATTCCCTGCTTCTAGGAGCTTTTTTTTTTACATAAAATTTTATTTTAATTGTGATTTTAATGAACTTTTACAGAGAAGTTAGATTTTCATTCATTCATTGTGACATGTTTTACCCCCTCACCTTCCTTTCCCCCTCCCTTAGTTCACTTTTTTAAAAAATAGTCATTCCTTGTTGCACAATTAATGGAACTCGTGAGTTGGGAGGAGGAAATTCACCGCAGGGAAACCGAGACTTAGGGATTTCAGTATCTTAACCCAAGTATACCACATCCCAGTGCTGAACTGGAATAGGATCCCAAGTGCATGTCTTCAATGACTGAGCCTCTTCACTCTTTCCTACATGTTAAATATCAGCCAAATGCTATAATTCTTTCTTCCTTTCTTTCACTATTGTCTTCCTTTTTAGAAAGAACTAAATTCACGAGATGCAGCTTGGGAAAAAATACGTGGTGAACGAGATCCTTTCATCCTCAGCAGTTTGATGTGGTCTTGGGTGGAACAACTGAAGGAACCTGTAATAACCAAAAAAGATGTGGACATGTTGGTTGACAGACACACAGATGCCGCTGAAGCACTGTTTTTGTTAGAAAAGGTAAAGTAACTGTTAAACTAATGATTGCATTTCACTGAGCCCTTCAACATGAGTTTCACATATTGACATGAAATCCCGCATAAAAGGGGAATTCATACTGCTTTTCTGGGTCTACTTTATGAGTTTTCCCAAGAAAAATGAAAGCACTCAGTAAGATAGGAAATACAGGAGTAAGAAGGGAAAGTATTGACTCTTAATACCCAAGAGAACCATTTTCACATTTCTTTCAGTTTTATTACTTCATACATATTTTAACATATTAAATGTCACTTTAAAATACAACTTTAGAGTTCATTTTTGTTTAAAATAATAATGGATATTCTTCATCTATGAGTTTTTAATAAATATTAACTCTTAATGAGTATATAGTGTCCAATGTAGGAATATGCCATAATTAATCATATTTATTTTCAGTATTGGATATTTGTTTCTATTTATGAGCATGCAAATGTGGAAAACACTTAAGGTAGTTTTCAATAGGCATGCATTAATGTTTTTCATAAAAGGATGTATGTATATGTGTGTACACATGTATATATGTATATAGAGTTTGTAGAGTTATAAAATATCTCTTGTTGTTGTTGTTATGTGCCGTCGAGTCGCTTGTAACTCATAGCGACACCATGTACAACAGCCCTAAACTCAGCTCTGCCCTGTGCCAGTTGCACTGTCTTCGATACACCCATCCTGATTACCCCAGTCACTGAATCAATCCACCTCACAGACAGCCTTCCCCTCCCGTGCTGTCCCTCCACCCTCCCAAGCATGATGTCCCTCTCCAAGGACCGGTCCCTTCTTACAACATGTCCAAAGTATGTCAGACGAAGTCTCAAAATCTTTGCCTCCAAGGAGCCACCCGGTTTAACCCTCTCCATGATGAAACTTAAATGTTTTCTTAGCAGTCCGTGGTACATTCCATACTCTTCTTCAGCGCCACAGCACAAGGTCATCAATTCTCCTTCTATCCTCCCTAGTCATTGTCCAACTCTCTGACTCATAACAAGTGATTGCAAAGACTATGGCCTGTATCAGACGCACCTTAGTTTCCAGAGAGAGACCATTGCTCTTCAGTACTTTGGAGAGGAAAAAATAATAAGCTTGTCATGGAGTATATTGTTGTTGTTAGGTACCTTCAAGTCAACTGTGACTCATAGTGACCCTACAAACAATAGATCAGAATCTTGCCCTGTGCCTGTGCCATCCTCACGATTGCATCTGCCATGCCTGAGCTCATTGTTACAGTCACTATGTCAATCCATCTTCTTCTCTTTCTCTGACCTTTCTAAGTATGGAAGGAGTAGCTGTTCTTGACAACATGTCTAAAGGATGTGAGATGCAGTTTCACCATCCTTGCCTCTAAGGAGCACCCTAGTTGCACTTCCTCCAAGAAAGACTAGTTTGTTCTTTTGCCAGTCCATGGGATACTCGGTACTCCAACAACACCACAATTCAAAGGTATCAATCTGTCTTTGGTCTCCCTTATTTACCCATTCACCACCTACCCCTATCCACTAACTGAAATTTGGTTTCATGATGATAGGTATAGAATTCTTTCTCTTTATGTTCACTCACCTGCTCACTTGGTGCTGTTCAGTCATTTCCAACTCATAGCAATCCTCCTTTGGGTTTCTGAGGCTGTAAATCTTAATGGGAAGAGACTGCCTATCTTTCTCCAGAGAAGAAAAATAGTGGATTTGAACCACTTAAGATTTGTGGCATTTTGGCTAGGAAGGCAGTAAGCTATGGACTATGCCATCAGGCCTCCTTATTTTCATATATTGTTTTATGTATTCTTGTTACTCTTAAATCAGAACGAACTCATGGCTGACATGCCAGAGGGTTTTTAGAGGCATTAAATCGCATGGGGTTAGATTGTCCATGGTTCTTCTGTGGAGCAGCTGGTTGATTCAAATCACATGTCTATTTATTGAGAAATAATAAATGTTTTCATTAAAAATTTACTCTTTTTAATTCATGAAAATTTTTACTATTGTGAGGTACTGCTGAGTCGACTACAATTCATAGCGACCCAATGAACAAAAGATCTGAACATAGCCCTATCCTGGGCCGTCCTTATTATCTCTGATATACTCAAGCCCATTGTTTAAGTCACTGTGTTTATCCTACTTCTTAAGGGTCTTCCTCTCTTTTGCTGATCGTCCATCTTTCCAAGCAGATGTCACTTTCCAAGAACTGGTCCTTCTTTATTATTTTTTAAATTATTTTTATTTTCTAATTTTTGCTTACAAAATTCATTTACACTGTGTTTCATTTCTATACATTGTGTTTCATTTGCTCATTTGCATACATTGTGTTTTACAAAATTAATCAACATTGATCCATATGCTCCATTACCCCACCTTTTCAGGTTCATACTGGATCTTTCTTGATTTGTTCACCCCCTCCCCCTGTCCACCAAACATCTACAACCCTGTGATTTTTTGCCCTCTCAATGAAATGTGCGAGGAGCTAGAGTCAGAAAATCAAAAGGGCAGAACTCGTTCAGCATTTCTTAAGCTCAAGGAACTGAAGAACAAATTCAAACCTTGAGTTGCTATAATCAAGGATGCTTTAGGCATCTGCTTAGGCAGAATGTTAAATGATCCAGGAAGTCATTGTATCGAAAGGAATTGGCAGATACAGATGAATTTAATGAAATAACATTTGAGCAAGAGCCTATGGTGATGAAGGAAGAAGTTCAAGCTGCTTTGAAGGAAATAGCAAAAAATAAGGCCCCTGGAATAGACAGTATACCAATTGACATGTTTCAGCTAACAGATGCTGCCCTGGATGTGCTCACCAAGTTGTGCCAAGAAATCTGGAGAACAACCACTTGGCCAGCTGACTGGAAGAGATCTATATTTGTTCCCATCCCAAAGAAGGGTGACCCAATTAAGTGTGGAAACTACAGAAGAATATCATTGATTTCACATGCAAGCAAGATTCTACTGAAGATTATCCAAAAACAACTGGAACAGTACATCAACAGAGAACTGCCAGAAGTCCAGGCTGAGTTTAGAAGGGGTCATGGTACTAGGGATATTGTAGCTGATGTTAGATG